GATGACGTTAGCTCAGGACTGAACATGTGGGATGAGCAAACAAAAACAAATCAGCCTGCAATGGCAGCTTACGACAACTGTGATCAGCCTGCAATGGCAGCTTACGACGAACTGTGATCAGGATCATTAATTTTACTGATGTACAGCTGTGTTTTTATTGTCACATTACTCCCCCCCATTTTATTTTGCTACACCTTTCACGAAGGGAAAGTAAGAAATTCTTACATTTTAAAGAGGCAGCAATAACATTTTTTTTAATAATTAGTGGGCAGTCACTACCACTGGACTGGATAAATTAATTTTCATAAATGAAAATTCACATTCATATTTTACACATTCAGCAGATACTCTTGTCCAAAACGATGATGTACAAATGAGGAGAAAAGAACGTTGCAAACAAACACACAGGCTGTCATGGAGTTGGCTGGCCATGAATGCAGTTAGGCTGAGCTTCCGGTGAATGATGAATGATGAATGATGAATGATGAATGCCGAGGTCTAAGTATGTGCAGTATAGGAGCACGAACTACACACGTGACCTTGGTTTGCTCTTTGGTGAAGGTGGGTCCCTGTCCATCGAAGGACCTGTAGGCCAGCATCCATGAGTCATGTGAGAATTTTCACCAGGGTGATGTCATTCTATTCTCTAATTAGCTGCATCCATCCATCCGTCTTCCAACATCTCATGCAGACCTTGAACCTATGGCCTCTTTGTCACTAGCTAATCATAGTGACCTAAACAAAGATGAAGACACTGTGAGATGGTAAAAACATTTTACGGAGAAAATCTCTTCTAAAAATCACAATGTTACCAGCACACATGAGGTGTACGTATTACTGCGACTCCTAGCCGAGGGTGTTGCCCTGTTGGCGCCAGAGTTGTGGTCGGCTGTCACCGTGAGAGCCCTGTGCTTGTTTCTCGCTGGGGCTGCCCCCTGCGCACTCATTACAGAAGCCAGGAGTTTCACAGCAGTAAAAATTAGGGTAGATGGATAGAGGTTTTCTGTCAGGCTGTTTGTCTTACTACATATTAAATTTTAAATATATTTAAAGCGTTTTTTAGCTTTGGGTGTGGCACTGTTGCCTCATGCCTCCTGGACCAGGGTTCGAGTCTCCACCATGGCTCCATGTGTGTGGAGTTTGCATGTTCTCCCGGTGTCGTCATGGCATTTTGTCTGGGTACTCTGGTCCTGTGTGGACAGCCCAAAAACATGGTGAGGTCAGCTGGAGTTACCAAATCGCCCAATGGTGTGCATGTGTGAGTGAATGCTGTGTCAGTTTGTCTCGTGACAGGTTGGCGCCCCATCCTGGGTTGTTCCCTGCATGGTGCCCATAGCTTCCGGGATAGACTCTGGATCTTCTGTGACCCTGAATAGGAAAAGTGGTTTCAGAAAACGGATGGATTTCTACTTTGCCCAATGTGACTTTTTAGAGGTACTATTTAAGTGCCCACTACATTCAATTGACTAATATGTAAATTAATATTTCAATGGAGTAGCACAGTGGTCCGTTGAGTGCCACAATTACCTCCCACCATCTGAGTTGGTGGTTTGAGTTCTGCCCCTGTTCTGTATGTGTGAAGTTTTCTATGTTCTGCCCACATTGTGTGTAGCTTTAGTTGGTTCCTGTAATCTGAAGGTTGCTGGTTCAAGCCTGGCCTAGGCAGAATTTTCTTATTGGGATCAATAAAGTATTTTTTTTCCTTCTTCCTCCAAATACCTGGGATTCTTTCTGCTATCTAAAGACTCACATTGAGTTGCACTTGTATTTCTATGTTGTCCACGTACATGTATATATTAGTGCCTGGAAATGGACTGGCATCCCATCCAGGATCTTCCGTTGTGCCCTATCCTGCGTGAGATAGGTTCCAGGCCCTCCCTAACCAAACCCTGCACAGGGTGAGCAGTTGAAAGATGCATGCATTTTGATATATTTTTATTTAGTTGGAATAACTTTATCCCTATCATAGCTATAGTGATTGAGGAACAATTGTTAAGTATGCCTTTGATTTTGTGTTAATTTAAGAAGGACAGTATGTTTAAATGTGCCCAAGTGCTTTTTGTCTGGTCGTGTCCATTTACTGAGGCCCGTACCCTGAAATGGAAATTCACAAGCAACCAAAAAAATAATCAGTAATATTTTATCAGTCTTCAAACTGTGTCAAAGCAGTCTCATTTGGGTACCCCTTTGCCTATCTTTAGTACTGGAGCATGGTGCCCACACTACAGTTTTCTGTCATATTTTTCCATTACCTTAATGTTTAAAGACTGGCCTGTGGGTTTTCATTCTTACTGCGTAGTCAGACCTCGCTATGTTACTTTGTATGAAGGCATCCTACGTCTGTCTGTCTGCTTTGCTTGGGTCTGCTAACACTTTCCTTCACTTCTTATGTCTGGTTGTTTCAATCACTCGGGACACTGTGGTTTTTCCTTTTAATGGTCCTATACCCTGTGCCCATTTACCTGGGTCCCTGGAGTACTATCAGCCATAGTATTTTATTTTATTTTCCTGGAAAATTTTCCATATTTCTGCAAAACTTAATGTCAGATGTCTAGTTAGAGCGCCGCAACATCAGTATTTGAATACTTTAGGTTGGTTATTTTAGCTAAGTGTCGAAATACATTTATATCGCCTAAGAGGAAGTTTTCATAAAGCTATCAGCTATGTAACTTTCAATTAAAAAAAACTACTGAATTAGTAACAGTGAAATGATATTTAGCAGCAGTAGGGGTGTAGAATAGACTTGTACACAGATAAGACTAAAAATCACCCAGAAGCTACTTGTAGAATATTTAAAACTATGTATTTGTTTAAAAAGAGGTACAGAAGGATATTTCAAGACAAGACGTCATGAGATTACAGTATGTGCAAATGTTCAGGAAACCTGTTTTTGGGCTTAAGCGTGAAAAGAGCAGCCGCCATTTGTTTAGTTCTGTGTCAGGCTTCCCCCCTTCACTCCTTTAAAGGAGAACAGAGCATTACAGAACAAACACGCAACCGCCAGCTCCCTGCTTGGGTCATGTGACAGGAAAATGAAAGCAGGGTGAGTGGCCGGATCACATCTTCAGCGCTGAAAGCGCCGTGTTTGCGTGGGTGAGCAGAAAAGAGACACTTCAATTATGGAGTGAAATACATGCTACATATTTGCTTACTTTCATGCCATATCTGAAAGAGGTAATTCAGAGCAATAATATTATGTCAAAGTTCATTTAAGCAACAAAATGCTGTTTTAAACTTGCTGAAAAAGATGAATAATTGGGATGTTATTTCAGGTTTACCTATTCATTGTAAACTTCTAATAAAGTTTTTTATGTCTTTTGTTTTTTTTCACAGCTGATCCAGTAGTGTAATAGTAGTCATTCTCAGTATCGCACTGAAATTAGTTATTTTCACCGTGGCTATAGTGTGTAACTGTTGGTACCTAAGTAACTATTGTCACAAACAGGTCGACAAGTCATTAAACAGTATTTTACCATGCTGGTAGAGTACCCTAACCAAGAGAAGTGGTTTGAAGATGGATAGGTAGATTACAATGCAGGGACTTTTTTAGTTACACTGCTCCAGCAACCAGTTTGTTAACTATCAGCACTGGCATATTTTCCAGTGGATGGCAACAGCATACAGTACTTGCATGCATACAATTCCATATCAATCAGTGTGTATTGTTGCAGCTGTTAACACCAGAACACGTTGAATGGGTGTCATGGAGAAACCCTAAATTCCAAATTCCAAAACCTTAAACCTTGAAAAGAATTCTGAATTGAAATGGCCTTTAAACTGCTTTAAAAACAGGTTTTAATGATGCGTACATTCTGTTTGTGCTTTGTTTTTTTATGATTATTCAAGTACTGTCCGCAATCAAGTTCATTTCTTTTTTCATTATTTTCGGCAATGTGACGTGTTTAATGGCGCTGTCTGTGTGTCTGCTAGGCGTACAGCGCAGCAAGGGAAACTGAAGTGAAGACGATGTGTCAGATTCCATGGTTGCTGCCCAGAGTGTCAGACGAGGCGGAGAGCTGTGTACGCTGCGAACCATAGAGGGCCACCGCCGCCAAGCAAAAGCACGGGTACTCCAGACCCAGAAGATGACCGTTAGACCATCACACTGATCTATCTCGAATGGGATTCGACGTGGTGAAATCAAGAACTCATCCTTCAAAGGCAGAACCAGCCGGAAGATGGCCAGTCCCATTCCGAAAAGCAACCCTGCCCTGAAACTGAAAGTGAATTTGACCACCGTTCTTTGTTGAATGTTACATGGTGTAGAAAAACGGTCAGTCGCAGGTATTACATGTATCACAGATACTGCTGGTTTTGTTATATTAAAGCAATAATCGTCTATATTTGAAGAACCAAATTATAATGGAAGAGCAGCCGCTTTGTGAAAACAACCGTCCGGAAGACATCTATTTCCCACAGCACAACTCCATGGGGGTGTGTAACATGAACTATGGCGTGCAGCCCATGGTACCGGCTCAGCTCTCTCCAGCCTCCCCTCAGTACTTCCAAGACCAGATGGAATCTCCTGTCACGCCTGGGCAGGACTTCAGTTCTATAGTGGAAGGCTCCAAACCCGGGGGGGCATGGCCTAGCAGCAATAACAGGAAGAGCATCCCGAACCTGTGGGGCTCGCTCGCTCAAGGTGACGCCCTGGAGATGAGCGAAAACAACAGTAACGGGGGCTACCAGTTCAGCATCCTGGCCTCGACGGAATCACCGGCGACCCCCAAGCATGCCGGCAACTCTCTGCCACGCCTCGATTCCTTCAACCAGGTCTTTGCCAGCCAGAACCTGCGAATCCTCCAAGGAGGGGGTGGCGGCAACAAGGGGTCCCGGCTGCTGGTGTCTGGCCCGATCTGCACCCCCACGGACAGCGCCCTGCGCCAGCTGCTCTCGCAGAAGTCCTCGCAGCTGGAGCAGTCGAGCATGCAGCCGACAGGGCCGCAGCACAGGTACCCCCCCATGGGACTGTCAGCGTCAAGGAGCTACGACCAGACACAGTCCAAGCTCATGCATGAGCATGAACAGCAGCAGCTGCAGTATGACTACCAACACCAACAACCGGACGAGTACTACATCCAGCAGGGGGCACTGCAACAGGCGCAGGTGTCGGAATGCAGCCGCTCGCTACAGCAGTTCCACCAGCAGCCGCAGCAGCTCGACTACCAGCAGGGGGCGTACTACCAGCCGCAGGCTCACTTGGCGGCCCAGCAGCCCATGCCGAGTCCCTCGTTCCTGCCGGGCTACGGTCAGAACTGTAAGATCTCCCAGCAGCAGCAGCAGTTCATGCAGGCCAGCCCGGCCCACCCCAGCCAGCAGGCCCAGCTCTACTTCCAGGAGGAGCAGAAACCCAGGCCACTGTACCACCAAAGCAGCCCTTACCTGCAGCAGCCCCAGGGCCACATCCAAGACGAGGTTCACGCGCTGCCAAGCAAGCAGTATCACTCTGACTCAAACTGTGCCCTGCCCAGCCCGAGCCAGCACACGCCCACCCACCCAGCTCATAGCTTCCTGTTCCCCAGAGACCATAGCCTGGCCTGTCAGGAGCCCACCATGCCTCTGGCCGGCACCATCAGCCCTCTCCCCCAGAGCCATGCGCCGCAGAGGGACGTCCCCCCCAGCATCCAGCAGGCGAACTGCAAAGCAGGGGGTCAGCAACTGCACTCCCCCAGCTCATCATGGCTACAGGTAATAAAGGTAGCTGATTATGAGAAAGACCTTGGTGTGTATGTTGATGCTTCCATGTCTCATT